TAAATGTATCCAAAATAACAAATAATAGAAACCAAAAATGTTGGCTGGTAATTGTTGGTAGGTTGGTATTGTTTCTTTGTTTTGTTTTTAGTTTTTTGTTTGTTTGTTTTTTGCTTGAATTACATATTACATAATTATATATTAATATAGATAGCACACTAAGTGTCACATGCTTTGCAAAGATTTCAAGGGTTCTAAAATATTCTATCATTATTATTCATGTTTAATGGATGAGAAAACTGAGGACCAGAGAAATTAAGTAACTTGCCCACATTTACACATCTAGGACATTGGAATTTGCACCCAGACAATCTGGCTCTACAGTCAAAGCACTCAACCTATCTGTCAGAAAACTCTAAAATCTCAGTTCTGGCCGGGCGCGGTGGCTCACGCCTGTAATCCTAGCTCTCTGGGAGGCCGAGGCGGGCGGATTGCTCAAGGTCAGGAGTTCAAAACCAGCCTGAGCAAGAGCGAGACCCCGTCTCTACTATAAATAGAAAGAAACTAATTGGCCAACTGATATATATATATAAAAATTAGCCGGGCATGGTGGCGCATGCCTGTAGTCCCAGCTACTTGGGAGGCTGAGACAGAAGGATCGCTTGAGCCCAGGAGTTTGAGGTTGCTGTGAGCTAGGCTGATGCCACGGCACTCACTCTAGCCTGGGCAACAAAGCAAGACTCTGTCTCAAAAAAATAAATAAATTAAATAAAATAAAATCTCAGTTCTATTACCCTTCTCTCATCTCTGTGATTTTACATGGATTAAATAAGAAAACATGAAAGCCCATCCCCTAATACTCAGCACATAGTAGGCAATCACTAAATAGTAGCTTATTTAGTTATATATACGTTCATCCTAAAGATTAAGATATTTAACCACTGCCTTCTCATTAAATTCTCTTAATGACGACAGCAAGGTCTGTAACTTCAGTCCCCATGGAATTAACTTTTTCTAACTAGTGAGTAGATCAAAATGATGTCATTGCTGAGAAGTTCCCAAGGACATAAAGCCTACCTGATTCAGGTAGAACAACACCAACACCACAGCTGCCGGTGCCAGCTGCTTTCTTTCTCTACAGATTCCCCTTTAGTACTTGAAGGTGGTATAATTCATCCGAAAGTAACAATACAAAACCTGTGCTGAAAAAAAAAACAGGATGCTTCCACCACATTGGTTTTCAGAATAATTGGGTCAGAAGTGTTAGAATTGTCCTGATAAACTAGTAAGGCCTGCGAATGTGGTTGACTGTGGCTTTTAATCCCTTCTTGACATCACCACAGTCTGGAAAGGTGAAAAAAGTGCCATTCTATCCCACTGCTTCAGTTCATGGGAAACCAACCCTAGAAAATCTTACTGCAGAGTTACATGCTTTGACATATTGAAAAATATGATAATATAGGTACAAAAGCATGATTTTTGCACAAATCCTTAAATAGTATCTCTCACTAGAAAATATCACCAAATATATATACTGTGACTTACCACCAAAACTGTGAATAAGACCCAAAGGAACTTCAAGGACTCTCACTTTCATTATGGAAAAATCAAGGTAAACGGCGTTATTTGACTTGTCCAACTTCAAACAAATTGTTATTTCTACTGGAAGATAATACTCTTGATACTGGAGAAGAGAGATTGACACTTCAGTTACATTTGGAAGTACTGAGACAACAGAAACAACTCAGGGTGAGTTTTATGGATATTTTAGTTTTATTCTGTTCTTGCTCTTAAGGATTTTCCTGAAATGTATGCAATAAACTCTAGGTTTTCTTTTTGTGCACCATATTCTTAGCATAAATTAGCACCAGATTTCTACTGTGGTTGAACACAGCTCCATTTTTCAAAGATTTTTTTTCCTTTGGCTTCACAGAAATAGAAAAAAATGTAATGGAAAATGTTTAGTTAAAAAGTATATCCATACCCTACGAGGAGGGAACAGATGTCTTCATTTTAGACCTGGTTCTCGATCTGCATGCTCTTTTCAGTCTGAGAAGGTGAAATTTCCTATAATGAATTGAAAATAAACCCTAAGTCCTTTCTCAGTTCATTCTTCAGCTTTTAATTTTGCAACCATGAAAACAGATATAAATCAGTAACACTTAAAATAGTTTTTTGGAGGAAAAATGCTCTAAGAAAAATTTCTAAACAGTAAAATTGCTGTCAATGTTAATCCAAGCCCTAGACACAGTGAGTTTAATTTTTAAATGGACTTCTTTCACTCCAAAAATATCTCCTTTGCCACAGATCTTCTTTGCCAGTTTCTTTTTTTTTTTTTTTTTTTTTGAGACAGAGTCTCGCTTTGTTGCCCAGGCTAGAGTGAGTGCCGTGGCGTCAGCCTAGCTCACAGCAACCTCAAACTCCTGGGCTCAAGTGATCCTTCTGCCTCAGCCTCCCGGGTAGCTGGGACTACAGGCATGCGCCACCATGCTTGGCTTTTCTATATATATTAGTTGGCCAATTAATTTCTTTCTATTTATAGTAGAGACGGGGTCTCGCTCTTGCTCAGGCTGGTTTCGAACTCCTGACCTCGAGCAATCTGCCCGCCTCGGCCTCCCAGAATGCTAGGATTACAGGCATGAGCCACCGCACCTGGCCTTTGCCAGTTTCTTGATTTGACACTACCATTAGTCTTTCCTCTAAGATAGACAACAAATAGGATAGAGACAGATGAAGATTACAACATCAAACTCCCACACCCCTGAGGCCCTCTGTTGGGACTGGGGGATGGAAACAAAGATGTTGTAGACCGGCTACCATGTTTAGGTTGGCTTTTTATTTTTATTTGTTTTTTTATTTTAGTGTATTATGGGGGTACAGGTTATATATATTGCCTATACCCTCCCTCCCCCCTCAAGTAAGAGTAGGTTGGCTTTTGTTATGGTTGTTATTGTTGTGCCTGCTGCTTTCCACCTTTGAACAGAGCAGTCAGGTAAACTGGAGTATTGGGTGGAGGGAGTGAGGACTGGTGGCCAAGAGTGGGTGATCATGCCCATTCCATTGTCCATATTGCAATGGCTTGCACTTAACACTTAGAACAATGCCAAAGGAAAGCATTTGGCAATGTTTATTATAATATAATTGATATAAAAATATTTAGTTTCCTCTAAAAAAAAAAAAAATAAGATAGACAACAAAAAGAGCTGTTATCTGCAGAAGACCAGGATGATGAGGTAGAAGAAATATTTAAGGAGAAAGAGAGAGCTAGAGGCAGAAAAGAAGCTCTCTCTAGCCTTTTTTCATAAACAGTATGGGATTGATTCATTTGTGTGTAAAAGAGTCTGATCTTATGGGTTGATATAAAGGACCAGTCATGATCCGTGATAGGAAGGAGGTAGCATAGGATGACAGGGCCCAAGCAGCCAAGGATGGGCCACCCCTGGAAGGCTGTGCATCAAAGCAGCAGCATGAGGGAAGCAAGCCAGAGAAGAGAGGCTCCCCACAGTTTCCTCCCACCCCCAATCTGGCTCGGGACACCAAGTAGAGGAAGAGGGAGGTCACTAAGACACATTCTACTTAACTCCTCAATTATGCCAACCACCCCCAAAATTAAGATCAGAGTGATGGGACAGTGAAGAAAGCCTGGACCAGAAATCAAGGAACCTGAGCTCTAGACCCAGCTGTGACTCCAATTCTATGTAACCTTGGGCCAGTTACTTTGCCTCTCTGTCCCTCAATTTCTATGTTTGTAAAATGAAAAGTAGATCATGTAAACTCTTAAGCCCCTTTAAGGGCTAAAATCCTGTGACTCTACATAATGCATACACTTGTTATTAAAAAAAATTTATTGATGCTTGAGTCATAAATAGGATAATTTAAAAGAATTACCTACATTTGCTTTACTTGTGGATCATTAAGTCTGACAACAGAATGGGATTTTGAAAATAACTGTAGCTAATCCAGTCAGGACAGTGATGCTATTAGGCTTGGATCCTGAACTCCAGTTTAAGAATGAGCAAGTCTGTCCTCAGCTGAAGGGCAGAGGAGAGGCAAGCCTCCCCCACTCTCTCCAGATTTCCCAAGGCTTCCAGGGTTTGGTCCTGCCTCCTCTAAAAAATTGTTCAAAGAACATCACAGTCACATTGCTTGGTAAAAAGCTGATGCCCTCTGAAAGCTAGATATGCAGATTATGGTCTCAGAGAACCACAGCAAAGCCAACAGGGGAGCAAGTAGTTTGGGTTACTGAAAAGTACAGTCAACAGGACAATAAAAAAATTAGGTCCAAGGCCTCTATTTGCATACCCTTGAACAAATTACTTATTTAGGGTAAGGGGAACCTTAATTTCTCCTCCTATAAAAATCTATAGTCTAAATCTTTTGAGCACTGATATCTTATTACAACAAGGGAAAAATAACTTATTCTGTTATTCCAAACGTGCGTCTTTAGCACCTACCATATATCAAGCATGACTTAAGAGGTTGAATAGAGACTTTTTTTTTTTTTTTTGAGACAGAATCTCACTCTGTTGCCCAGGCTAGAGTGAGTGCCGTGGTGTCAGCCCAGCTCACAGCAACCTCAAAGTCCTGTGCTCAAGCGATCCTCCTGCCTCAGCCTCCCAAGTAGCTGGGACTACAGGCATGTGCCACCATGCCCGGCTAATTTTTTGTATATATATATTTTTAGTCGGTCAATCAATTTCTTTCTATTTTTAGTAGAGACGGGGTCTCGCTCAGGGCGGTTTCGAACTCCTGACCTCGAGCAATCCGCCCGCCTCGGCCTCCTAGAGTGCTAGGATTACAGGCGTGAGCCACCGTGCCTGACCGAATAGAGATTTTTAAAAGAATACTTACATAATGAGTGCGATGCACACCACCTGGGGATGGGCACACTTGAAGCTCTGACTTAAGGGGGGAGGGCTGGCAAGGGCAATATACGTAACCTTAACAACATTTGTACCCTCATAATATGATGAAATAAAAAATAAAGAAAGAAACACAAGATATTTCACCATAAATTCCAGGTAGAGATAAAAGTCATAAACCCACAAGAAATCAAGTGACCAAATGATTGATGCAAATTTAAATGTTATGTTGGGGTGGGGTTTTTTTCTAATTCCTGACAGGAACGTCTAACAAAGAGGATGGAAGAGGTCAACCTACTCAATCAAAGTTCTTTAGTGGCATATTTTCGGCTTAGAGGTTTATCTGTAAATCAGAAGGTGCAGATGGCTGTGTTTTCCATGTTCCTCGTTTTCTATGTCCTGACACTGATTGGGAACATCCTCATTGTCATAACTATTATCTATGACCGCCAGCTCCATACCCCCATGTATTTCTTCCTCAGCAACCTGTCCTTTATTGATGTCTGCCACTCCACTGTTACCGTCCCCAAGATGCTGATAGACACTTGGTCAGAGGAAAAGCTCATATCTTTTGATGCCTGTGTGACCCAGATGTTCTTCTTACACCTCTTCGCCTGCACAGAGATCTTCCTCCTGACTGTCATGGCCTACGATCGGTATGTGGCCATCTGTAAACCCCTGCAGTACATGATAGTGATGAACTGGAAGGTATGTGTGCTGCTGGCTGTGGCCCTCTGGACAGGGGGGACCATCCACTCCATAGCCCTGACCTCCCTCACCATCAAGCTGCCCTACTGTGGTCCTGATGAGATTGACAACTTCTTCTGCGATGTACCTCAGGTCATCAAACTGGCCTGCACTGATACCCACATCATTGAGATCCTCATTGTCTCCAACAGTGGGCTGATCTCCGTGGTCTGTTTTGTGGTCCTTGTGGTGTCCTATGCAGTCATCCTGGTGAGTCTGAGGCAGCGAATCTCCGAGGGCAGGCGGAAGGCCCTGTCCACCTGTGCAGCCCACCTCACCGTTGTCACACTGTTCCTGGGACACTGCATCTTCATCTATTCCCGTCCATCCACCAGCCTCCCAGAAGACAAAGTTGTGTCTGTGTTCTTCACTGCTGTCACCCCCCTGCTGAACCCCATTATCTATACCCTTAGGAATGAAGACATGAAGAGTGCCTTGAACAAGTTAATGGGGAGGAAGGACAGAAAAGAAGAAAAATGAAAATGTCTAAGTCTTTAGGATGTTTGGTGCCTTCCAAATCAAAGAAATGCTTTGCAAAGAATAAGTTACATGCCATATTTATCAGATTGTATGACTTATTAAATTATCCTTGGCCCAATATCTGACAACCATAGCAGTAGCTGTGATTATTATAATAATATATTTGATATGCTAGAAATTGTTCTAGGCACTATGTACTTAATTCTCACAACAGCCTTGGGAGGTAGGTATTATTATGCTTGTTTATACATGAAGAAACTAAGCTCAAAGAGAGCAAGTGCCAATCCCAAAGTCACTCAGCTAGGAAATGGTGAAGGCAGAATGTGAACCCAAGTACATCAACACAAATTCAATCTATTTTCATTATTTCACACTGCTTCTCCTTGCTTTTCTATCAGGGTGATAACCAAGGTCTAAACAAACTGCCAGATTTCTGAGCAGCCCTTGTCTACATTATTCACTCAGATGCTTGCCTAAACAGCTTGGCAACCACTGGTGAGTCAGATTAAGTGAGTTTGCATATGACTTTCATGACTGAGAAAGAAGACTTTGAACCATTGAAGTTATTGATGCTCTCAAGTATCCAGGCAAAACCTGGCATCAGAGCAATGAAACAGGGATGTTTTATTACTCATTCATTCAACAAATATTTACTGAGCACCTATGATGTGCTAGGTACTAAGTTTATAGACATAAATAATACATCATATAGTTCCTCCTTCTTGTAGTTTTTTTTTTTTCTGGGTAAAACACTAGGTTTAAAATTCATAGAATTCATAGAGTCTAGAGTCCAATGAAAATAGAAAACAAAAATAAGAACAAATAAATTTTAATTACACATTGTGATAAATGCTATAAAAGAACAGAGCAGGGTGCCATTAGAGAATATGGAAGAGACTGTCTTAGATTGAATGGTCAAGAAGGTCTTCTGGGAGGAAGTTACATTTAAGCTAAGACAATAAAGACCAAAAGAAGCCAACCATGAAAAAAAGGAGGTGATGAACATTCTAGCCAGAGGAAATGGCAGGTGAAAAGACTGTATCTTGGGAAAGACCTTGGCTTGTTCCAAGAAGTTAATGATTAGTGCGATTACCACTCCAGGGGGCCTCAAACTACGGCCCGTGGACCACCTGCAGCCTGTCCAAGACATTTATCTGGCCCACAGGGTGTTTTTGCCACAGCTGCCTGTCCTGCTTAGCAGCCAGCTCGTCCCGGGCCCACAGTGCACACTCTCCAACAGTCTGAGGGACAGTGCACTGGCCCCCTGTTTAAAAAGTTTGAGGGCCCTTAGAGCCTTAGACTGTAAGGTGGAGAGTGGCAAGGGTAAAAAGAGTCCTTCTGTGTTCTCTCAAGTACTTTAGAATCTTTTTCAGCAAAATGAGAAGACACCAGAAAGGTTTAAGTACAGAAGTGGCATGAAATACTTGGTGCTTTAATAAAATTCTTTTAGTTATTATATAGAGAATTCATTCAACTAAGAATTTAGTAAACTAAGAATTTAGTAAACACTTAATAGTCACCCAATATTGCTCTAGGAGCTGGTAGAAAATACCAAGTTGAATAAAACATGGTCTATAATCCAGAAGCTTGAATCTAGCCATGGTGGCAGGTATTGCAGCACAGTGGCATGCGCTGAGTGGACTGGGAGAACAGAGGATATGAAGAGGATACTCCAGGCTATGGTATCTCATATTCACATATACAAAAGAGCATGGCACGTTGGGAATCAGCAGTTCATTCTGACTCTATCAATGAGAGGGGCATGCTTAAATGCAGATGGTATTTCCTAGGCAATCAGTGAGGATGGGCTCAATAAACCTATGGGCCACAAGACTCATCTCACATATTTTAAGAGGAAAATTTTTTTATTTTCACCAGGAAATGCGTTGGGAAGGAAATTCAAGTGATACAAGTCATTTCAGTGATACAGAGCCATGACTGCAAAGGCATTCTGTAGGGTTTTCTGGGTATTATAATTAACTTCCAACAGACAAATCTAATAATACAATAGTCTCTTTCCCCATGATAACTCTCTGGATAATATAAAACTATATTCATTTAGACTAGTTGGTGGAACAACTGAGCTGAATTTGAGAATTATAGAGGTTTGTATAAAATAAATGCTCTTTTACTATAAGCAATGGCAGACAAGAGAAATAGCTTTCCAAAGAGCCCAGATAGAGTGGCTTTGTGCAGGAATCAGCTGCACAGAGGAGCACAAACAATGTGACAGACAAGAGGATGCTTCATGGCAATCATTAACTTTGTAGCTGGTAAAACTATAAAAGAACAACAATGTCATGTTTGCTTATTTTTTTCATGGTAGCAAGCAAACTTTCTAACACTACCCATTTTCAAGCACACCAACCTTCACAACTGTCTGGGGAGGTAAAATAAAACATTTATTTTCCATTTCACAGGAAAGGCTTTTTAGTCTCAGGAACAAGATAAAAATGTTTAGTAATTATTTAGTTACTCACTGAATAAATAGAGAGTAAAGAATAAAATGAAAATATTTTGACTCTTGGCTCTGTGGTTGACTTAAAGGGGAGAGGGGAATGACAACTTTGTATTCAACAATTGAATTCCTCAAGCTACCACCGTCTTCCATACAATAGAGTAATATTGCTATAACACAAATAAACAAATAAGGCATTGGGAATTTATTTCTGCATATAAGATTCTAATGGGTATGAATACCTGTGCATATAAAAGGACATAAAGTAGAGGCATAATTAGACCAGTTTTCTAAGTTTTTAACGTGTACAGTAGTGATAGCTCAACTTCATTTTATCACAAATATGTAAAACTCTTATCTTGACTTAGGTTTTATATGAGAATTGTTGGAGACTGACAATATGCTACACTTGTTCATCAATTTGAAACAATGATATTTAGGTATTTTCATGAGCATCTCCCAGTTTATTTAATGGGCCTGACTTTAAATACTCTCTATATGCTGCTGATCCCAAAAACTTATCTCGAGACCTGACTTCTGTCCTGAACCCAAGACTCATACATCATCTCCACGTGGATATCTAGTAGGGATCTCAAATGTAGTATGATAAAAACAGAACTTTCAGTTTCCACTTTGAAAAAAAAAATTCTCCCTCAGTCTTTTCAATTTTAAATGATGACATCAACATCTATGCAAAAAGAAAGTTAGTATAGCAGAAAAACTCCTTGGACAACATAAATTTCCATAACTGACACGATAAGAAATAGAAAATATAAATAGTCCTGTGTGTAGGAAAGAAATTTTGTTTATAATTTAAAACCTTCCTACAAAGAAAATTCCAGGCCCAGGTGGCTTCTGTGCAGGTTACTATGTACTAAACTATTCTTAGCTCAGTGGTATAAAACATCAACCTTTTTATTATGCTTAGGCATTCAGTGAGCCTGGAATTCACACAGAGCACAGGGGAAATACTTTGTTCCATGACATCTTGGTTAGAAAGACTCCAATGGATGTGACTTGAAAGGCCAATTCCTAGAGTTATCTGAAGTCTTCTTCACACATATGTCTCGTATCTAGACCAGAATGTCTCAATGCTGGCCATAGCTGAGACTGCCAAGTAGAGTGTTTATACATCACTTTTCTATGTGTTTTGAACTCTTTCATAGCATGGTAGATGAATTTTGAGAGGTAGCTGCCCAAGAGGGAACCTTTCAAAAGAACGAAGTGGAAGATGCATGGCCTTTTATTTATTTATTTGTTTGTTTGTTTGTTTGTTTGTTTGTTTGTTTTTGTTTGTTTGTTTGTTTTGTTATTTCAGCATATTACGGTGGTACAAATGTTTAGGTTATGTATATTGCCTTTTCCTCACCCAAGTCAGAGCATCAACCGTTTCTATCCCCCAGATGGTATGCACCGCACCCATTAGATGTGTATATATCCCTCTTCCCTCCTCCCATCTTCCTGACACCCAATGAATATTACTACTGTATGTGCACATAAGTGTTGATCAGTTAATACTAATTTGCTGGTGAGTATATGTGGTGCTTGTTTTTCCATTCTTGGGATACTTCACTTAGTAGAATGGGCTCCAGCTCTATCCAGGAAAATACAAGCCTTTTCTGACCTACCCTCAGAAGTTACACAGCATCACTTCTGCTGCATTCTATTTATTACAGCTAAGTCACTAAGACTAGCCCACATTCAACAGGAGGGGACACAGGCCCTTCCTCTCCATGGGAAAGTATCAGATAATTTGTGGACTTGTTTGAAAACCTCCAGTCTCACTCACACATTCCATCAAATATTTAAAGAATAACAAAAATATTATACACATTCTTTCCAAAAACAGAAGAGGAAGAAGCATTTACCAACTCATTTTATGAAGCCAACATTACTGATACCAAATTGAGACAAGACATTATAAGAATCATTGATATATGTATGAAAATATCACATGGACCCCCAAAATATGTACAACTATGATATATCAATCAAAATACAAAAAAAAATTACAAGAAAAACTTCAGACCAATAATCCCCATGAACATAGATTCAACCATCCTTAACAAAATATTAGGAAGTTGAATTCAGCAATCTGTGAAAGGAGCAATCCATTGTAATTAAGTGAAGTTTATTCCAACAAAGCAAAGTTAAATTAACATTGGAAAACTGACCAATATAACTCACCATATGTCTTAGTCTGTTTGTGCTGCTATAACAAAACACCACAGACTGGGGAACTTACAAACAACAGAAATTTATTTCTCACAGTTCTGAAGGTTGAGTGAAGATCAACCCAGCAAGTTCAATATCCGATGGGGCTACTCTCTCTGCTTCCAAGAGGGTAACTTGTTTCTGCATCCTCCAGAGAGGAAGAATAGTATGTCCTCGTATGGTGGAAGGGACAGAACGGCAGGAGAGGTGAACTCCCTCTATCAAGCCCTTTGATAAGGGTACCTAATCCCATTCATGAGGGCAGATCCTTCATGGCTCAATCACCTCCTAAAGACCACACCTCTTAATAGTGTTGCATTGGAGAGGAGGTTTCAACATGAATTTTGAAGGGGATAAAAACATTCAAACCATAGCACCACATTAACAGAAATAAGGAGAAAAATTATATGATTATCTCAACAGATGCAGAAAAAGCATTTACCAAATGTAGAAAAGACATTTAATAAGGTCTGATACACATTTATGTTAAAAATTCTCAGCAAACTACATAGAAAAGGAAATTTCCTGTTTACAAAAAGCATCTAGGAAACCCTACAGCTAACATCATACTTACCGTGAAAGACTTAAAGCTTTCTTCTTCTATCAGGGATAAAGATGCTCTGTTCACTTCTACTAAGCACTGTACTGGTGAGAGGCCGAGGCGGCTAGATCGTTTGAGCTCAGGAGTTCGAGACCAGCCTGAGCAAGAGTGAGACCCCATCTCTACTAAAAATAGAAAGAAATGAGCTGGACAACTAAAAACGATAGAAAAAATTAGGCGGGCATGGTGGTGCATGCCTGTAGTCCCAGCTACTTGGGAGGCTGAGGCAGTAGGATCGCTTAAACCCAGGAGTTTGTGGTTGCTGTGAGCTAGGCTGATGCCACAGCACTCTTACCCAGGCAACAGAGTGAAACTCTGTCTCAAAAAAAATAAAATAAAACAAAATAAATAAAGGTAAAACTATAAAACTTCTAGAAGAAAGCAGAAAAAAATCTTTGAGACTTGGAGTAGGCAAAGATTTCTTAGGACACAAAAAGCATCAACCATAAAAATTAAATATAATCAACATAATCAAAATATAAATCAAATATAATCAAAATTTAAAACTTCTGCTCTTCAAAATATACTATTAAGAAAATGAAATTGCAAGGCATAGAGTGAGAAAAGTTATTGGCAAGACATTTATCCAACATGGTCTTATACCTAGAATACACAACACAGTGACAAGAAGACAAAAAATAATAATAAATGAGCAAAGTATTTGAACAGACACATCATAAAACAAGATACACAAAAAGGATAATGAGCAAATGCAAAGACACTTAACATCATCAGTCATTAGGGAAATGAAAATTAAAACCACATATTCACTGAAATGCTTAAAATTAAAGACTGACAATATACTAATTGTTGGATATAAAACTCAAATGCTTTTCATGAGATTATAAAATCAAACAACCATTTTCAAAAACAGTCTTGCAATGTCTTATAAAGTTAAACATATACTTAACCATGTGATCCAACAACTCTGCACCTACGTATTTATCCAAGAGAAATGGAAAGTTTTACAAAATAAACTGTACATAAATGTTTATGGCTACTTTATTCATAATTAACAAAAACTGGAAGCACCCAAATGTCCATCAATGCATGAAAAAATAAACAAACTGTATTGTGATGAAATATTACGCAACCATAAAAAGGAACAAACTACTATACCCACAAAAACATGCATTAATCTCAGAAACACCACACGAAACAAAAGAAGTCAGGCACAGAAGAGCATATACTATATTATTCAATTTACATGAAACACAGGAAAGACAAATCTTATCTATAGTAAAAAATAAAATAAAATCTTTGGATGCTTGCATGAAGATAGATTAGCTTGGAAGAAACTGAATAAAACATTTTGGGATGATGAAAATGTTCTGTATCTTGCTTGGAGATGTGGTTACATGAGTGTATGTATACATTTGTGAAAACTTATCAAATTGTACAATTAAAATGAGTGCATCATACGTAATGTAAATTGTACCTTAATAAAATTATTTTTTACCGGGCATGGTGGTGCATGCCTGTAGTCCCAGCTACCCAGAAGGCTGAGGCAGGAGGATGGCTTGAGCCCAGGAGTTTGAGGTTGCTGTGAGCTAGGCTGATGCCATGACACTCCAGCCTGGGCAACAAAGTGAGACTCTGTCTCAAAAAAAAATTAATTTTTAAAATAAAGTTATCTATTTATAAAATAAAATTATTTTTAAAATAAGTTATTTATATTATACATCTCCACCTTGATTTCATCAAAATAAAACTACTACAAAAAATACACAATAAGAGAATCACATTCAAAAGCAACAAAATTTAATTTAATATAAATAAGTGGAGGAATATTAATACAACTTGAATACATATTTGAAAGCAAGACTGAAACCACTGTAATTTATAAAAGATTGGTATTGTTCCCTAGAGGCAATAAGCTACAGAACGGCATAAACCAAGAGGGTAGCTTCTCACACCTGTACCTGTTCCTGAGATTAAGACTGAACTGAGTTCCCCAAATTGTATTCTTTTACTGGTCAAACCAGAGCTTTCTCTGAACTTTCCTGGGTTCTTTTTCCTTACATGTTCTACCATGATCTTTTCCTTTATATGTAATAAAGTCTCTGTCTTTAAGCAGAAGTCTAACCTGCCTCATGCTGTTTTACCTAACGATTGTGACTCTTTACTTTTGCTCTCTCATTAAGAATGTGGCCACGGTTATGTCTGCAATCCCAATTCCCATCATGTATATGATTTCATGAAAAACACTTGTCTCTGCCTGAGCTGTTTCATGGCACTTTTTACCTCCTCATTCCTCAAGGTGTAAATGAGGGGATTCAGCAAAGGGGTGACCACTGTGTAGAAGACAGACACCACCTTGTCGACAGAGAAGCTGGTGTCTGGCCGAGTATAGATGAAGATACACGGCCCAAGGAAGAGGGCAACCACCATCAAGTGGGCGGAGCAGGTAGACAGGGCTTTCCGGCGCCCTTCGGCTGACTGTTTTCGAAGAGAAACCAGGATAACCACATAGGAGGTGACCAAGGCCAGGAAACAGGTGAGGGAGATGGTTCCACTATTGGACACAATCAGCATTCCTGTGAGGTATGTATCTGCGCAGGCCAGCTTGATGACAGGAGGCACATCACAAAAATAGCTATTAATAATGTTGGGGCCACAGTAAGGTAGACGAATGGTCAAGAAGGTCTGCACCAGTGAGTGAACAGTAGCCCCGAACCAAAGAGCAAAGACAAGCCATACACAGACTCTCATGTTCATCACATTGGGGTAGTGTAATGGAGTGCAGATAGCTACGTATCGATCATATGCCATAATAGTCAACAGAAAGATCTCAGCACAGGCAAAAAGATGTAGGAAGAAGAGCTGTGCAATGCAATTGTCAAAGGAAATGGTCTTCCTCTCTAAAAGCAAATCCTTTAGCATCTTTGGCACCGTGACAGATGAGTGGCAGATGTCAATAAAGGACAGATTGCTCAGGAAGAAATACATGGGGGTATGGAGACGTGGAGTAAAGGTTATGGTAATGATGATGAGATTGTTCCCCAAAAAGGTTAGCACATAAGTGACTGAGAACGCCATGAAAAACAGTATCTCCAGCACCCCGTTATTAGTGAGTCCCAAGAAGACAAATTCAGTCACTCTTGTTTGGTTAAGAGCACCCATCCAATGAGCTTTTCAGAGGACCTTGGGGGGAAAAAAAATGAAAGCTACTTTAGCTTTAATATTATAGGATTGGAAATAATTGAAATTGAAATGATTTTGCATTTCTATCTGAATTGCTTATTTATTATCAGAGCATGTAGATTATAAACCAGTTTAATAGTAATTGTTACAATATACCCACTACATATCAGAAGCCAGCCCAAGCACTTCATATACAACATTCTGTATAACCATGACCACACCATGGCACAGCATCTTTCTTCCTGTCTTCCAGATGAGATGAGTGAGGCTTGCCGAGCACAAATAAATTATCCAAAACCCTTACCCGTTAGTTAGTTGGCTCTTTTCATTTCAGACTAATCCACTGATAACATCAAATTAATATTCCAAAAACACGCAACTTCCAACTAAAATCATTCAGTATTTGACTCTTCCTATCAGAGTAAATGTACATTCAAAGCCTGCAACAGTCTGATGCACACTGATTTTTCCAATGTAGTGTCCTTTTTTTTTTTTCCCTGTGTATTCTCTTCTCCAGCCAAGCAAGTCACCATACTCTGGGCATGCTACTTCCACATTATTTTCCAAAATCTTTATTTATTTTTTCCTTCAGCTCAGAAAATATGTTCTCTAATCAAATGTGTTCAACTCACTTCATTGTTGACTATGAAAATATTACTTATCCTTTACTTCATCTCTATCGTAAAGGATCCTTTGCCTTTAAGAGAACTTTCCTGATGCAATTGGCTGGACATGGTGGCTCACACCTGTAATCCTAGCACTCTGGGAGGCCGAAGTGGGAGGTCCCTTGAGATCAGGAGTTCAAAACCAGCCTGAGCAAGAGCAAGACCTATCTGTAAAAAAAAAAAAATAGAAAAATTAGCTGAGCATGGTGGCATAGCTAGGCATGGTAGTGCACACCTGTAGTCCCAGCTACTCGGGAGGCTGAGATAGTAGGATCATTTGAGCCCAGGAGTTTGAGGTTGCAGTGAGCTAAAATGACTTGCACACAGTAGGTATGTAAAAAGAGGTTTTCATTTGAATTGATCTTAACTTCTTAGGTGGCCTGAAAACAAATCTAATCTTTTCTTCACAATGGGGCTAATAAGTTTACTTAAGAAACTTAATTCTTCAAATTCATAATATTATTTGCCCCTAGGAGATGTAATTGTATAAATACTAAAATTATATTATCCCTAATTTTCTATACTAGTTGGCTGGCCAAAAACTGTAACAGTTTGGGAAAAAAATATCACAAACAAAAAATATATTTTATTCTTGATCCAGTTATTTCACCTGTAGAAATCTCCTAAGCATCCAAACTATGGTGAAAGCTAAATGCAAGGAAATATTAATTATAATATAATTTAAAATACCCTCACAATCATGGCACTTATTTATTTTTAAGCTTGCATAAATATAATAGAAGTTGAATAAAATTGTATGCAGCCATTAGGAATGATAGTGACAAAGGATTACCAATATTAAAAGAATATTGAAATATAATGAATGAAAAATGAGGATAAAATTTATTTATACATTCTCAAGAATTTAAAACATATATAATTGCATATAAGTTATTCAAAAATAGATAGTAGACTAGAAGAAAATATTATAACATATATGACCAAAAAATGATAATATTCCTATTATTCAAATATCTCTTAAAATTTGAGAGGAAAAGACAAACAACTCAATTAAAAGTGAGCAAAGAATATGGACAAGTCACAGAAAAGGAATTGCAAGTGACAAATAAGTATGAATAAAAAGATGTTCAACTTCAGTAGTAGATGAAAAAGAAAACCAAATACGTTTTGTCTTTCATCAGATTGGCAAAAATATAAGGAATGAAGTACTCTTTATACACTGTTATTGGAAAAACATATGAATGCCAGAATCTTTTTGCTATAATGATTTCCTTTACTTTGGGTACATACGCAGTAGTGGAATTGCTGGATCAAATGGTAGTTCTATTTCTACTTCTTTGAGAAATCTCCATAAATCTCCATAAATCTCCATACTATTTTCCACAGAGATTGCACTAATTTACATTCCTGCCAACAGTATATAAGTGTTCCCCTTTCTCTGCACCCTCAACAACACCTGTTATTTTTTGTCTTTTGATAATAGCCATTCTGACTAGGATAAGGTGAGATCTCATTGTGGTTTTAATTTGCATTTCTCTGATAATCAATGATTTTGAGCATTTTTATATGTTTATTGGCCCTTTGTATGTCTTTTTTTAATCTATTTATGTCCTTTGCCCATTTTTAATAGTGTTATTGGGGTTTTTGTTGTTGTTGTTTGCATTCTTTGTGATTTCTAGATATTAGTCCCCTGGCAGATGTATAGTTTGCAATATATGTAGTTTGTATAGTTTGCAAATATTTTCTCCCATTCTACATGTTGTCTGTTCACTCTGCTGATTATGTCTTTTGCTGTGCAGAAGCTTTCAGTTTTAGACATATTGATCAATGGAACAGAATGGAGAACCCATAAATAAAGCCACATATCTACAATAATTCATCTTTGACAAAGTTGACAAGAACATACACCAGGGAAAGGACACCTTTTTCAATAAGTGGAGCTGGGGAAATTGGATTATCATATGCAGAAGAATGAAACTGGACCTCTGCCTCTCACCATATACAAAAATCAACACAAGACAGATTGAAGATTTAAATGTAAGACCTGAAACTACAACAAAATACTGGAAGAAAACCTAGAGAAAATCTATCTGGAAGTTGGTCTGGACAAAGTATTCATGACTAGGATCTCAAAAGCACAAGCAACAAAAAAAAATAGACAAATGGGACTTAAGCATGGGTTACTTTGTTTAAAAAACAAAATATTAAAGGCATACATGGGAAAAATTGAGTGGGAACAATACCCATAGCTTAATTATTATCATGTTGCTGTTATCTTTGATTTTTTCTAATTGTATTAAAAACATATAATTTATATTCTTTCACTCATTATTATATCATAAGCATATTGACTGAATGATATTTCATCGCATACGTGTATCAGAATGTGTGTACCCATTCCACCCTTTGTGCCCATTCATGACATTTCTAATTTCTCACTATTAAAAATAATAGTACAATTTGTTCTTAACATTACAGTAAGAAATCTTATTAAAACATAGGTCGGATCATGTCATTCCACTAATCAGACTTTCGATGGCTCCTCATTCACACATTGTAAGTGTCTTTCCAGTGGCAAACAAGGTCCTCTCTGACACAGCTCTCCGTTACTTCTCTGACCTTATCTCCCGCCACCCTCCCCTCATTCACTCAGCTCAAAATCATACTCACATACTCAGAACACAGTCCCACTCTAGGGCCTTTGCTCTGGCTGCTTCCTCCATTTGGAAAGTCTTCCCCCAGATATCCCATAATTAACTCTCCTTTAACGTCTTAGCTCAAACATCACCTTCTCAATGAGGTTTATGCTGACGAACATATATGAAACTGAAACTCACCCAGAATCCCCAGTACTCCTGATTGCTTTACCCTGATCTACCTTTTTGTTTTGTGAAAGCGCTGATCACCTTTCACCATACTATATAATTAACTTACTTACTTAGTTTATTGTTTATTATATTCTGTCTCCTGCTGCTAGCATGTAAACCCCAAAAAGGCAGGGATCTTTGTTTTGTTCAATGAAGCATCCAAAGTATCTAGAAAGGTACATAGAACATAACAGCAGCTCAATAAATATTTTAAATGATTGTATAATAACTTCTTTAATATTTTAAATTATTCCTGCAGGAATAGCTTATTAGAAATGAATTTACTAGGTCAAAAGTTGTGCCTCAAAATACAGTGTTGCCAAACTGCTTCTCAAAATGTTTGCAGGGTTAAGTAATTCACTCATGGTCACTCAGCAATTGCTTGAAATGGAATTTGATCTATCTGGAACCTACACTCTGAACCACCATGCCATGCTGCTAAAATACATTAAACAATAACCAAAAAAAGCCACAAAGTGGCCTTTAAGGAACAGTAAGATCCAACTATGCCCCCCTGAAGGAAGGACAATATTTTATTCATTTTTCTATCCACATAACAAAATGTTTTTCTTTCTTTTTTTTTTTTTTTTTTTTTTGAGACAGAGTCTCACATTGTTGCCCAGGCTAGGGTGCCATGGTGTCAGCCTAGCTCACAGCAACCTCAAACTTCTGGGCTCAAGCAATCCTCCTGCCTCAGCCTCCCGAGCACCTGGGACAACAGGCAGGAGCAACCATGCCCGGCTAGTTTTTTTCTATATATTTTTATTTGGCCAATTAATTTCTTTCTATTTTAGTAGAGACAAGGGTCTCACTCTTGCTCAGGCTAGTTTCGAACTTCTGACCTTGAGCAATCCACCTGCCTCGGCCTCCCAGAGTGCTAGGATTACAGGCGTGAGCCACCGCGCCTGGCCCACATAACAAAATATTGATATTGGCACAAAAGAACTCACTGAGCATTTACTGAGTTGATTTTTTTAAAAATATTTTAAAAGTAACACAAGAATCATTAAGAGACAGGGTCTTCTTCTGTCACCCAGGTGGAATACAGTGGCACAAGTATAACTCACTGCAGCCTTGAACCCCCGGACTCAAGAAATCCTCCTGCCTCAGCCTTCCCAGAAGCTAGGGCTACAGGCATGCACCATGACACCCAGCTCACTTTTTAATTTTTGTAGAGATGGGATCTCTCTAGGTTGCCCAAGGTATGTGCAGATTTTGGTATATACTACAGTCCTGGAACCAATCTTCCACATGCATTGAGGGCCCACAACATATATATATAAATTAAATATATACATCTCATATATATTTATAAGATATTTTATATATATATAAGATAACCTTGTGTCTTATATATAAAACCTTTGGTTCTGTTTCTCTGGAGAATTCTAATACAATTACCTTCTTTGCAATGATCTTAAAGATGGGAATGTGGTGAAATTTAGGTACATATGGGAAGACCACTGTTCATTTATCACTTTTAGGA